TTCCAATTCCAATTCCAATTCCAATTCCAATTCCAATTCCAATTCCAGTTCCAATTCCAATTCCAATTCCAATTCAATTCCAATTCCAATTCCAATTCCAATTCCAATTCAATTCCAATTCCAATTTCAATTCCAATTCCAATTTCAATTCCAATTCCAGTTCCAATTCCAATTCCAATTCCAATTCCAATTCAATTCCAATTCCAATTCCAATTCCAGTTCTTTGTTGCTGGAGAAGTCCAAATAAATCCCACATTTTAAAAGGGAGATCTTTTGGTGTCAGATCCCACAATTCATCAATTGGTCATCCCAGGTGCCTCTACGAGCCCTCACCGCTCTGGCCACACTTCCTTTTCTCCCTTAGTAGCAATTCCGGTTTTTAATCCAGGGAAAAGGGAGACGCCCCAAATTCCAACGGGATGCTGGTTGATTCCAAGAAAAGAACAGGAAGAGCCAGGCTCAGACAGCCCTGATGGATTCTGAGCAGGATCTCCTGGGAACCAAAGCACTCCAGACACTGCAGGAATCATCCTGCATTAGGAAGAGACTGAAATATGGTTTGTGTTGCACGGGGAGAAGTAATTGGAGAGCTCGGATTCACTCCGGGATATCCATTACAGGCTGGAAAAGCACTTGGATGGGCTGGCACAGGAAGGGCACAGAAGGGAATCAGATGTTTAAGAGGATTTTTTTTTTAGGAATGAAGTGTTTTCAGCTTTTAGCAACTTTTTACAAGGGATGGAGGGACAAGGACGCAGGGAATGGCTTCACATTGACAGAGAACAGGGATAGATGGGATATTGGGAAGGAATTCCTGGCTGGGAGGGAGGGGAGGCCCTGGCACAGGTTGTCAGAGGAGGAAGAAAAAATATAGAAGAAAAAATATAGAAGAAAAAATATATAAGAAAAAATATAGAAGAAAAAATATACAAGAAAAAATATACAAGAAAAATGTAAGACAAAATCTAAGGGAAACTCTGTAAGAAAAATCTAAAAGGATATGTAAGAAAAGTCTAGGAAAAATATGTAAAAAAATATATAAGAAAAAGGTAAGAGAAATGGTAAGAAATAGATAGGAAAAAATATGTTAAAAATATAAGAAATATATACAAAAAATATGTAAAAAATATAAGAAATATAGAGGAAAGAATATGTAAAAAATATAAGAAATAGATAGGAAAAATAAGAAAAAATATAAGAAATATATAGGAAAAAATATGTAAAAAATATAAGAAATATATGAGAAAAATATATAAAAAATATAAGAAATAGATAGGAAAAAATATGTAAAAAATATAAGAAATATACAGGAAAAAATGTAAAAAAATAAGAAATGTATAAGAAATATATAAGAAAACGTATATAAAAAATATACAAAATACATAGGAAAAATATGTAAAAAATATAAGAAATACATAGGAAAAAATAAGTAAAAATATTAGAAATATATAAGAAAAAATATGTAAAAAATACAAGAAATATATAAGAAAACGTATATAAAAAATATACAAAATACATAGGAAAAATATGTAAGAAATATAAGAAATATATATGAAAAAACATGTTAAAAATTTAAGAAATATATAAGAAAATTTGTAAGCAATATAAAAGAAAAAATATGTAAATATATAAGAAAAAGATAAGAAAAAATATAAGAAATATATAAGAAAAATATAAGAAATAAGAAAAACTTAAGAAATATATAAGAAAAATATGTGAAAAATATGTAAAAAATATATGAAATCTATATGAAAAAGTATGTCAAAAATATAGAAATATGTAAGAAAAATATGCAAAAAATATGTAAAAAATATAAGAAATATATAAGAAAATTTGTAAGAAATATAAAAGAAAAAATATGTAAAAATATAAGAAAGAGCTAAGAAAAATATAAGATATCTTTCTTATATTTTTCTTATATTTCTTATATTTTTCTTATGTATTTCTTATATTTTTCTTACATTTAAGAAAAATACATAAAAAATAAGAAATAGATAAGAAAAATATAAGAAATATATTAGAAATGGATAAGAAAAATATAAGAAAAATATAAGAAATAGATAAGAAAAATATAAGAAAAATATGTAAGAAATATATAAGAAAAATATGTAGGAAAAAATATAAGAAAAAATATGAGAAAAAAATGAGAAAAAAATGAGAAAAAAATGAGAAAAAAATGAGAAAAATATGAGAAAAAATGAGAAAAATATGAGAAAAAATGTAAAAAATATGAAAATATATGAGAAAAAAATGAGGAGAAAAATGAGAAAAAAATGAGAAAAAATGAGAAAAAATATATCAGAAAAAAATATGGAAGAAAAAATATAAGAAAAAAATAAAAATATAAGGAAAAAATACGAGAAATTCCCACCTGAGCCACAGAAATGAGCTCTTTAGAAAAAGCACTTTGAGAACAGCAAAAAGATTTACTTTGTGAGCACAAAAATTCCCTCTGTCCCTCTGTCCCTCTGTCCCAGGCCACCACAGAGCCCCCCATGAAGAAGCCGGACCCCATGACCTCGGAGACCGTCGTGATTTGGGGGCTAAAAAATACAAGAAATATATCAGAAAAATATGTAAAAAATATAAGAAATATATAAGAAAATTTGTAATAAATATATAGGAAAAATATGTAAAAATATAAGAAAGAGATAAGAAAAAATATAAGAAATACATAAGAAAATATAATAAATATATAAGAAAAATATATAAAAAATATAAGAAATAGATAGGAAAAAATATGTAAAAAATGTAAGAAATATATAAGAAAATTTGTAAGAAATATAAAAGAAAAAATATGTAAAAATATAAGAAAGAGCTAAGAAAAAATATAAGAAAGAGCTAAGAAAAATATAAGAAAGAGCTAAGAAAAATATAAGAAAGAGCTAAGAAAAATATAAGAAATATATAAGAAATATATAAGAAAAATATGTAGGAAAAATATATAAGAAAGATGTAAGAAAATATATAAGAAAAATATATAAGAAAAAATATATAAGAAAAAATATGATAAAAATATGAGAAAAAATATGAGAAAAAATGTAAAAAATATGAAAAAAATATGAGAAAAAATGAGGAAAAAAATGAGAAAAAAATGAGAAAAAATGAGAAAAAAATGAGGAAAAAATGAGAAAAAAAATATCAGAAAAAATATAAGAAAAAATGAAAATACAAGGAAAAAATACGAGAAATTCCCACCTGAGCCACAGAAATGAGCTCTTTAGAAAAAGCTGGCACTTGGAGAACAGCAAAAAGATTTACTTTGTGAGCACAAAAATTCCCTCTGTCCCTCTCTCCCAGGCCACCACGGAGCCCCCCAAGAAGAAGCCGGACCCCGTGACCTCGGAGACCGTCGTGATTTGGGGGCTCAGGCTCTGGATGGTGGTCGGGATCTTCGCCCTCTTCGTCCTGGCTGTCAGTAAGTCCCAATTCCCTGGGGAATTAGGGGAGGATTTGCTCCTGGAGGGCTCCAGGGGGTCACAGAGGTCACAGTGAGGCTCTTTGGGGCATCCCAGGGATGCACAGGAGGGAATTCTGGAGCAGGGATCCAAGGCAGGAAGGAAATTTAGACCCAGCCTTTGGCCAGCTGAGCTCCACAAAATGACCCAAATAAATCAAAATTATTTATATTTATCCTGTGGGTCAGATTGAGGTTTCCCCAGGCTGGGATCAGGAGTCAGGAAAGCTGATCCGAGGCAGGAAGGAAATTTAGATCTCTGGGGTCAAGCCATGAATTAAACAGAATTTTCTGACCCTCAAACCGTGCCCTGATCCCTCCTCCTGGGGCTTTGTCCTCTGCAGCTTCTCCAATTCCAATTCCAACTCCAATTCCAGTTCCAATTCCAATTCCAACTCCAATTCCAATTCCAGTTCCAATTCCAATTCCAATTCCAATTCCAATTCCAATTCCAGTTCCAATTCCAACTCCATTTCCAGTTCCAATTCCAATTCCAATTCCAATTCCAATTCTTTGGTGCTGGAGAAATCCAAATAAATCCCACATTTTAAAAGGGAGATCTTTTGGTGTCAGATCCCACAAATAAATCTATAAATGAAAGGCAAAAAATGTTAAAAATAAAAATTGAATAAAATATATATATGAAAAAAGAGAAAGAAAAAATCAATAAAAAGGCAAAAAACCCATACTTAAAATAAAAAATAAGTAAAATAAATATAGAAATGAAAAGCAAAAACACTAAAATAAGAAATAAAATAAATCTATAAATGAAAAGAAAAAACAGTAAAAATAAAAAATGAATAAAATATATATATGAAAAAAGAAAAAGAAATCAATAAAAAAGTAAAAAAAACCTTAAAAAATACATAAAATAAATATAGAAATGAAAAGCAAAAACTGCTAAAATAAAAAATAAATAAAATAAATCTATAAATGAAAGGGAAAAAATATTAAAAATAAAAAATGAATAAAATATATATATGAAAAAAGAGAAAGAAAAAATCAATAAAAAGGCAAAAAAAACATACTTAAAATAAAAAATAAATAAAATAAATATAAAAATGAAAAGCAAAAACCACTAAAATAAGAAATAAAATAAATCTATAAATGAAAAGAAAAAACAGTAAAAATAAAAAATGAATAAAATATATATATGAAAAAAGAAAAAATCAATTAAAAAGCAAAAAAACCCTTAAAAAATACATAAAATAAATATAGAAATGAAAAGCAAAAACTGCTAAAATAAAAAAATAAATAACATAAATCTATAAATGAAAGGCAAAATATATTAAAAATAAAAAATGAATAAAATATATATATGAAAAAAGAGAAAGAAAAAATCAATAAAAAGGCAAAAAAAATACTTAAAATAAAAAATAAATAAAATAAATATAGAAATGAAAAGCAAAAAGTACTAAAAATAAAAATAAAATAAATATATGAAAAAAGCAAAAAAATCACTAAAAATAAAAATAAAATAAATATCGAAAGGAAAAGCAAAAAACCCACCAAAAATAAAAAATGAACAACAGAAGAAAATCACTTAAAATAAAAAATAAATGAAATATATAAATAAAAAGCAAAAAAACAATTAAAAATAAATGAAACAAATATATAAATAAATACAAAAAACCTAAATAAATAAATAAATATATAAATGAAAAGCAAAAGAAAATCACTAAAAATAAAAATGTGAAATATATAAATTAAAAACAAAAAACCCCACTAGAAATAAGTAAAATAAATATATAAATAAAAAACCAAAAAAACCCTAAAATAAATGAAATAAATATAATATTTATATATATTATTATAAATATATTTATATATATATTTATATATATTATTATAAATATTATATTTATTTCATTTATTTTACGGGTTTTTTTGCTTTTTATTTATATATTTATTTTATTTATTTCTAGTGGGGTTTTTTTGTTTTTAATTTATATATTTCACATTTTTATAAATATAATAAATCTCTAAACAAAAAGCAAAAGAAAATTACTACAAATAAGAAATAAATGAAATATATAAATAAAAAGAAAAAAACCACTAATAATAAATGGTAAATAAAATAAATCCATTAAATGAAATCAAAAGAAAATCACTAAAAAAAGTCAATAAAATAAATCTATAAATACAAAGCAAAAAATCATGAAAAATCAACCGTAAAATAAAATATAAATAAACAATAAATATTTCTAAAATGTAAATAGTGAATTTAGAAATAAATTGTAGTAGTAGAAAGCTGTTAGTATGGTATCATAAACATTCTTGTGGGCGTTAAAATGCCATTTATATATAAGATTTTTCTAAAAAATCATTTCCAGCTAATAGAATGGGTGCATAAAAACGAAGATTTTAAGAAGATAAATATATAAAATATATAAATATGTAAAAATCCAAGTGAGATTTCCGACTCTTCCTCTCGGGAACCTTCCACGAGGTGGCACCAGCACATAACAAAAAGGCAGAAAAACCACCTGAAAACCCAAATTCACCTGAAAACCCAA